ATAATAATAGCGACGATCAACAATCAATGAATAAGAAAAAATCAAACTTTCAATTGCTAAAAAAATTGGAAATGAGTGGTCGAAACAATGATATTTGATGTAAACTGAGATATATCTCATTAATACAATCAGCATGAAGTCTTTTTTCTTTTAAAGCTCTTAGAAAGCTGATAAAAAAAGATTAACTAAAAGCTAAACTAAGGAAACACTTCCATAAATCAAATTATCAAATTCAAATTGCCTCCTCTGCAAAGCAACAGGATCATCTTAGTATAATAAAAACACCTTAAATACCCAACAAAGCCTACTAGTATAGAATATTGATACTTTATAAAAATGTCATTTAATACAATTTTACAATGAATCCAATAAATGGTACTAACTGAAAAGGAAAGCTTTTCAAATAAGAAAGGTTACAATGTCGTTATACCCGCAGTTGTATCAAAAACAAAAAAGAATGCAGTAGGAATGCAAACTACCAAAATAATAGAAAATAACAAGTTGAAATAAAAGTAAGTACATATTAAGTATTTTAAAAAATACTCGGACATTTGGACCAGTCACCAGTCTTCTTTTTCTTCCAGTATTCACCAGTAAATACATGTATTAAAGCACCCGTTTCTTCGTGCTGATGTTTTTTAAACCATAACGGCTTATATTCTTCAAATAGTTCACCTGAAGCTGATTTTAATGAATTCTATTATTTATTGTAAATTCCAGGGTCAGTGCAAAGAAGACGCAAATACTTCATTCAATTTCCAAACAAATTTCAACACAATGTTTTTCAAGTAATCATAATGTCATTTACACTGGGAAACGATGCTCTGCTCTGGTATAGAAAAGAAATTTATCAAAAGAATTTAAAAATTGAAAAAAAGCGATTGAAAACAGGAATTGATAAAAAATATTTGTTGCACACATATACACACACACACATACGAGATATATACATATATACACACATATGAACATACGCAAAAAAGGCATCACGTTTTAATTTGTAAAATTGCAGTGATATGAAATACCTTTTTGCAATGCTTTTTCTGCTAAAAGTTCTCGTTCTCGACGTACAGCGCGCTGCTTTTCCTCGATTTTTAACTTCATTTCATTTGCTTCATTCCATTTTCCATCTTCCATTAGTCGTTGATCAGGACGAAGCCGCGAATCTGTTGGAGCAACACCTTCTTCTGGTTCATTTAATTCAATTGCCAGCTTCGTAAAATAATACATCTTCTCACTATTTTCCCTGGAATCATAGTCACGTAAGTTTGAACAGAAAAGGCAAAAAATAGAAGCAAACTTTGGAATTATAGAAATTAGACAACTAACTGCAATTTATTATAGCCAGAAAATCAGTGTTAAGACAAATATTACAATACTTTTATTGGATATTAGAAGATCAAGTTACTTTGCTGTCAGAATTATAATTTTTTGAACAGTTCACAAAGCACACTTTGAAACCAGTTTCAATTTTGAACTAGTGAAAGTGAAAATAAAAGTTAAAATAGATTTTGTGTGAATAACATACACTGGTAGATTGATCGTCCAGATACGATTTGGTGCATCGGTCTCAAAGCGTGCATTTTCATCAGTGTTAACTTCATCTTTCACCTTAAGAATATCCAAATAGCTATCCCAAACACCTTGGATAAGCCAGTGAACTTTTCCAACTGGATCTTTCACGAAACCAGCTATCTTCAATAACGCTTTAGTAAATTTAATAGTAAATTTTCATGAAACTGAAGGGAGCAAGAATGACTGCACTAGCGAAAAGTAAATCTTTTCTTAAAAATACAAATTTGCATCTTATTTATAGTGAGTTATAAAAACGGAACTCAATACTGTTCCCGTCTAAACAACTGAATCAAATATATTAGAAAATTTTAAAAACTTTCTGATTTAAAAGAACATTTCTCTTAATTTACAAAACTCGAATTGTAAGAATAAATTTTCAGAAAAAAACTAACCTTCCGCGGAAGTTCTCGGGAAAAATAGCTATAGGGATGAAATTTCAAGACACATTTATCACCAGTTTTGTGATTTTCAATCAACATCTCACCGTGATTATCTATCCACAGCTTGCCCACGATGATGTTATGTACCGTGGTAGTTACTTTCTTATATGAATATTCATTTCCGCTATCAAGAAACTGAAACAAGAGTCAACGGTTTTTTAGCACGTAACCAATCAGATCTTGGAATGATTAATTATAAATCACTTACAATCGACAATATTCGGCTAAGAACAACAAAGGCTACAAACATATGTTGAAAACTCCTTCAGTGGAAAAGAAATCCTTCTTAATAACCCGAAAATTCAGTATTTCATACTAGAAATTGATAACAATTAACCTTAACATACGTATAACCGGTAGGTGTTACTGATAAATATTTTCCACGAAAACGTGATGTCATTGAGAAATCTTGATGCAATGTCCATTTATGACCATCAGCATGATGTGCTGTTATTGGTGGATGATGACTTACCTGAAAATCTTATCAAACCGCTTGTTCACTATATCCTATTTTACAGCACAAAACGAAGTACTTTACAGTTTTTATAAACTTAAAAAAAAAACCAACGTACATTACTTTATCGTACTTTACAGCATAAAACTGAGGCCAGCAAGAAGTATCTCATCACGTAAGGTATAACTGCAATTCTGATTCGAGTAGACAAAGTCCAAAAACAATTCTATACTTACTTGCTCAGCAAAAGAGCGCCAGCCAAGATCATCAAATCGATCACATTCAAATGTTTCACCCAATAACGGATTAAAAGGTTTCGTCGTACGATAACCCGTCGTCGAATACGCACTGACTGCAAATGCTGCCACAAAGCACATCTGTTCTAGTGAATCTGTTTTTTCTGCCCCATCATCTAATAAATATGAATATTCCAGATCTTCAGAAATCCTTTGTAGCACAGAAAGTGGCTCATTGAAATTCACCTGTAACATGTAAGGCGAAAGATGCTCGATTTGTGTTACTGCTGCAAAAGTTTGCTCAGCAATAGACAACTATTACTTAAAATATAATTAAAAAAATTTGAATTAAATAATTTTGAACAATGTGTGGATTGATAAAAGGGCGTAAATAAAGGCACAGATTACTTTGATCGCTAATTCATCTCGCTGGCATATATTTTTCTACATTATTACAATTTCTTGGACATAAATACAATTTCTTAGACATTCTAAGCCCTTCAAGAAATCTGTCAAATTGACAAAATAACATACAGGCATTGGAATTTTGCTCAATTCTTTGCCAATACAATTGCGCATGATTGACCACAAATTGATGGAAGTTTGTGGTCTTTCAGGTATTTTGCTACGACGCTGTCGTGAATGTTGGGTAGTTAGAGCGTAACGGGCTAACCTCATTTCAGACTGCAAAAAGTATATTACAACATATGTAAATATATGATAAATTTCTTCCTTAACTATTCAAGGATAAAATTTGAAATCTATACTTTAACTGGTTTTGGATGAATAATTTCTGCATTAAATAATTTCGAGTCTGTTACTTCACAAATAGATTCTGTTTGAGAAGAACTGGATTTCCTGAAAGACAAAGAAAGAAAGTTGTGGAATAAAAAAAAAGGTAGAGAATTAACAGAATGGAAAAGTTAACAACATGTTACCATTTTAAACAACAATTTCCGATGTGTACACACCGTTTATAGAAAATGCTCTTCTGTTAACTGCAAACTTCAAAATTTCAACCATCTTACCTGCCATCATGCGCATCGGAAACATAGTCGTACGCATCATGGAATTCTTCTTCTGCATCCAAAAATGCTGCAAGAAATTATAATCCTTTCAACAAATAATAAGGATATGGGAAGTTCCTATCATTTAATCTAGCATTCAGAAAAAAAAAAAGCATATAAAAGATAAGAGCATGCGAAAGAGATATACTGCCTCCTGTTTATTAAGCACTGCAAAACAAGACTGAACTTTCGTAACGTTGCAAACATTCTAGGGATTCAAGAATTAGATTTGGTTTTAATTTTCTTGATTAAAACAAATGTCTTAATAGACAAAGGAAAAAAAAACGGTCCATAAAAATTTCTGAGATTTCATAAGACTTACGTGGTTCCGAACCAGTACTGCTTTTATGTGTTGAACGATATGCGACACGTTCGAGTTTACTATGTTGTTGTGCAAGTTCTTCCAATTGATCTTGCAATCTTAAGCGTTGTTCATGTTCATTTGCTGCATAACGTCCCACTTTTTTTGTTTCCTGCAATATTTAATCAGTAAATCAGTTTTAATAACACTAACTAAGTTCTCTAACTTCTGTAGTACAAACTTGATGTACATTAATTCAAGATAATTTAAAAACATCGAATAACTAATTTTCAGATGACTTGAAGTTCAAGGAATTATCAGTTTGCAGAATTAATTAAGAACATTAATCGTGGACAAAAATCAACAGCAGTAATAACTTATAACACAGACATAACACGTTCCTTGCAAAACCAAAAAAAAAAAAAAAATTCACTTAAATTTTCATCGCTTTCACTCATCATTTTCCTCTTTCTAGGCCTTCATTTCTTAATTTATTCTATCAAAAACTTTCGACTATCAGCGTAAAATTTTTGTGCAGTGCCATCTTTTTAACAAAAAAAAGAGAACATCAGCATTTGCTTCTTTTATCTTTTTGTCAATAGTAACAATGAATATTGCTATAACAAATACATTAAAAATTTTGAAATGTTTTTTGAGAAAAAAAGTCATAATTCATACTTTAGTAGTAAGAGTGACAAATTCCTCGCAAGCTTTCATCATTGCAGCAGTTGTAATCTTAAAGAGATTGATGCGTTCAGCTACTGCTTTAATTTTTTCCGTCTTTTCTAGATCACTCATTGCTTTCAAAAGTTCCGACCCATGTTTTGCTAAAATTCTTAAGTAAATTGAGATTCACTAAAAGTTAGTTTTCTAAATGAATCTGATAGCAAATTCTTATCTCATGTATGATCTATAAAAAATTGGAATTTATATGAGTGAATCATCATGCACTTTGATATTTAAGCGAATGAGTCAATAAGAAAAAAAAGATCGGAGTAAACAATCTTTATGTAGCTTCTGGCTTATTGAATTTAATATGTAGCAGCATTGCATCATCGTAAACTGCATACAAACAGTGAAAAGCATCTTCTCTTGATCTGCCCAGATTTAAGAAACAACTTGCAGTAATTCTTCTAATATTCCTAATAATAAACGAAAAAAGAAAAACTGATAAAAAAAATACAAATGAGAGAGCTGCACGTCCTTAAATCGAGAATCTTAGTAGCAATTGCTCGGTTCATTGTTTCAATTGCTGCAGCACCACTGGCACCGGATACGGTCATTTTGATATCTTCATCTTCATCTGTAAAATAATAAAAAGTAATAGAAAAAGCTACCACTCCGTAATGTTTTAACTACGTATCTCATGCAATAAGCCAGCCGATAAAAATAAGATATAAGTCATCAATTTTTTTCTTCAATTAATGATGATAATGACAATGACATATTTTTTTTTAAAGTGATAGCATAATTTAGACTTGTTTGAACTTTCTGGGCTTTGTTCTCCAACTCACTTTTTCAATCGAAGAAATGAGGAGTAAAAATGAGAAGTGAGGAATAGAAAATGATTAAATTAAAATTTTTCACTGAAAATTTTTGTGAAATTTATCATTAAAAAGTTGCTCCCTCGCTGTTACTGTTTGAATTACATTGTTTTTCCTTTTCTACTATAAAATCGGAAAACATTTTTAAAAAAATTCGTAAGATGGCAGAAGAATACCGAGAGAAGAGATGATGAACAAGTAAATAAAATTAATTGGATAAAAACCAAGACACTTTTTCCAAGAAACCTGATTCAGCATTACGAACAGCGCGATGACGAGCACATTCGAGCGCATGAAACCATTTGTCATGATCCAGTTCATTTTGAGCTTTCAAATGAAATGTTTGCGAAGGTGCTGAAATTGTCAAGCTATTCGTTGCTTTATCTGCATGAATACGAGCTTCTTGTAAGTTTATACTACCGCGGCATGATTGGCCTACTTCAGACGAATTCCTGAAAATTCCAATGAAAGAACATGCTTGTATTTTCACAATTCCTTTAAAAATATGTTTCTTCAAAATTAAAATGTCAGTTTTAAAATATTTGAAAATTAAAAACTCAATTTTATGGTTCACATATAAATGCATTGTACATTATTTTTGAAGAACAAAGAAGAGAAATGATCAACGTTTAATTGATTAATCTTTCGTTAAAATATTAATATTTACAATTTATTATTTTAGATAGAAACAATCCTGCTTGTGATAGCTGAATTGTTTCCGGAAATTGATGTTTCGCACAACCTTTGTTTCATGAAATAGCAGATTACATTAATTTATAGATTTTTCCATTGATATATACATATATATCAATGGAAAAATAATTTTATTTTAAAAATCAATGAAAAACTTAAACAGAATATTAGAACTTTTTTCCATAACAAATCAATTTTAAAAAAAAAAATACATTCTAAAAACTTTGTAAAAATACCTCGGTGATTTACAACTAGAACACAATAAAGGCATCCTTTCCAGTAGCTTATATTAGCATATTGAAAACTGAGCAAAAAATTCTGAGAAAATGATATTGAAGAACAGAAAGCTGTGCATTTGACGTGATACAGAAAGATAAATTTCTTCACTAAAATTTAAGAACAAATGCTTGCAAATATCATTCATTTACTCGTCTCATTACACTATCTCATTGTGAAGGAAATAAGTAGAGAGAGTGAAAACAGGAAAGAAAATAGTGTTTGTTCATTTCGTTTGTACGTATCTTTGCTACCAGTTTTTCTAAAAAAAGCATACATACATGAAACAATGTGCGGTACAATAATAAAACAATAAAATCGAACTTGTCATAAAAAATTAAATGAAATATATTCTATTGATGCCACTAATTCGATAGATCTAAGTTTATTTTTTTTACAGATTGAACAGTTATTTTTTACTTCATATTAATCACTATTTAAATAACAGTAATAGTGCTTCTCAGTAATATATAACAATATTATATTATTGAAATTTATCCAATGACGAAACTAAATTTTCTTTTAAACAGTTTCTGTTAGCTGTTCATCTTAATTTTCATTTTTATTCCAGCTCAATAATAAACGATGTAGCATATGATATGGATTGATTTTAATATTCATATAAAAAACCGCGATGCATCATTTTTAAATGAATTAGTATCATAGCAATCCCATCTAATCTTGCCAACATTAACAAGTTATTATTAGCATAGCTATCCCAATTAAAACGCGATTACAAGCCTTCACCAGTTGGATTTATTCGAAGTTCCATTCAAAAAGAATACCAGAGAATAAATTTATCGTTAAAATAATTTCTGACCATCCCATTTTCAAATTTGTGTATTCATTCGCTGTATCTTGGGAGCTGCAAATCTAAATTAAAAAATAAGAACAATTTTTTTATCCCACAGTAATTGATTAATAGGTGTATCTCACACTTATTAATGGATCAATTTCGTAGAATGCACTAATTCTATATTGTTTGGAACCTAATCAAAAAAATGATAACGAACAAATTGCAATCATATATTCCGAATGACACAAAAAAGCATCTCACACAGCAAAAAATATATATTAAAAAAATGTTCAAAGATAACTTATCAAATTAATGATACACAATAAAACAAAAGATTTGTTTTCCGAAGTTTTAAAGAGATTTTTCTTGGCGAGACGCATTCAATTTTCACATATAGGAAATATTCTGGAAATTTTGCATTAAAAAAAGATATGAAATTTTCTTTTCATTTTGAAATTGTATTCAATCAATTTTAATTTGATCCTAAATCATTATGTTTTAATTCGTATTTTAAAATAATAAGCATTTTTTACACATGGTAATTAATTTGATGAGAACTTCACAAAACATTAAAGCTCTAAGAAAATCAAATAATATAGCAGTTTTTCCCCTTGACTATAGTAGTACAGCAAATAGAACGGTCGTTGCAACTATCAAGACTCTTAATCAGTAAACATAACAATTCGTATACCAAACGAAGAATAACAATCGAGAAAAAGGATTGACAATAGTTAATATACTGTTCAAATATAAAGAGTTTTCAAATTTAAAATCCCAGCCCTAAATTTTTTCTTCAATCTAAAAATATACACATAAATTATCTGGCTTCACTGAATAAAAATTAGAATAAGTATGCGACTGAAACATCTAAAATTGGATTTATAATTGATGCAAATCGTTTTTAAAAATGTAATAATTGCAACCGTAATTGAATATTACTATTGTAGTGTATCTGAAATTATCCGCAATGAAAATGAAATTAAACAGCACTTTTTTTTGATCTTGCATTCAAAATTCCGAAGGGTTACAAAAGAACTATTAGAAGAAATGAAAATACATGTAATCAGATAATTGGTAAGAAAGAATCAGAATAATTCAATATATTTGAATCCTAATTCAAAACAAATTTTCGTTTTTTTTTTTAAAGTTCTCTTTCACATTTAGTTCTTTAAACAAACAGAAATACTCACTTCTGACAAAGAGAAAGAGCTCTTCTTTTTCTATGGGATAAAAAATGTGAACTGAATCGATTAAATTTTTAGTGCTTTCTTTTATTTGAATCTCGAAATCCAAAAGCAAATTCTTGAACAACAGACTGAGCCAACGGAAAGCAAATTTAGATAAAACCTTTCAAACATCAAATATGTCTCCTATTTAAACTGTGAGATATATTATACCATCACCGTTTTTAAGTCCTATAATACTTTTTCAACCAATTCAACAGAAATAATACCAACCTGTAATAACTTAGATTAGCACATGAATCGAGCACAAACCAACGTTGTCGATATCCTTTGATATAATTTGTCCATTTCAATAACCAACCATACTTCTCCTCTATTTCCAATGATAATTCTGAGGAACGTGAAATTCCAATTGGCATTTAAAGATGGTTCTTCCCAATTTTTGAGATCTGCAAATAAGTAGTATACCACAGCAAGTATGATCTAATATTTTTTTTCAACAAAACACGCATGCCGCAGAAATTAATGAAATCATATATTTGGCGCTCTTGTAACATAAATCGGTGCTTGAAACTGTAAAAAAAAATTCAAATCCCAATAAAATCATTTTTTTTTTTGAAAAATAATCGCTGAAATTTTGAAATCAAATAGAATTACAATATTTTATCATGCTGATTTTGTCAATATAATCCTAATTTTCTAGAAATAAATAAGAAAAAAAAAAGTACAATTTAAATCTAATTTTGACGAGGAAAATGGGAAAAAAAAAATGTGAATGAAATATGCAAATGGAAATATCGAGTAGGCATAAAAATATGGATACGGAAAAACTAAATGATTTTAGACTTTTCAATAAGGATCAAATGAAATATTTACTAATAGTAATTAGTATTATAAGAGATAAAATGCAATACAAAAAAGCATTAGAGTAACTTTTACACTTCCATAATTATCTACTAAATTTAAATACTACTACTATTAATAAATATTTCATCCGGTTCTTATTAAAATCTAAATTGTAAAAAATCTTTGAAAAAACTTTCAAAATTCAAAGACAATTTAACTACTGGTAAATTGTACTCAAAAAAAAGAAAAAAAAAAAACATACAAGCCGTATCGTACCGCATTCACATCATATTTGATTATGAATATACGAAGGATGCGTATTTTCATGTTGTGCAACATCCCAACGAAATACGCTACATGGATGAAACGAATGGATCATAATTTGAATTAAAAAATAAAAACAAAAAAAAAAAAGAAGAAAAAACAAAATTTGAAGTTGATAAAGGTGATAAAAGTTGAAATTGATCAAAAAAAAGTTAAAAATGATATTATTACTATAAAGTGATATTATCACTATAAGATGATATTATTACTCTAAAATGATATCATTACTATAAAAAAGATATTACTACTGTAAAATGATATTATTACTATAAAATGATATTATTATATATTATCACTATAAGATGATATTATTGCTCTAAAATAATATCATTAGTATAAAAAAGATGTTACTACTGTAAAATGATATTATTACTGTAAAATGATCTTATTACTATAAAATATTATTACTATAAAATGATATTATTATTATAAAATGATATTATTACTATAAAATGATATTATTAC